CGCAGGGTCAACTGCGAAAATCTTTTATGAAGTACTTTCTTATGGACTAAAAATCTTTTCGATAAATCTTGAAACTCAAAATCACACGGCGGAAAAATAATAAAAAATAACTAGGAGACTTATTGTTCACAGAACAATAAGAGGTCTTTCCACCTTCTTTGAATTTCAATTTTGTTTTATATCTGACTCCTTAAAATTAAATTCCATGAATAAGAAACCAAAATTGTCTAAAAGGATAGAAAAAAATGAAAATAGGAAAAAAATTGAAATGACCTTGACCTTTGACCTTGAGAAAATGTTCAAGGTCAAAGGTCAAACGTCACAATGCAATTGACCCCATGCTTCTACGACTTATAGTTTTTAAGTTGTAAGGTTTAATAGTAAGTACAAAGATGTTAAAGGGCAATAACTTATATAAGGGGTCATCAGATCCTTTCGCACTTACACAGTGAAGTTAGGCCTAAAGACCCTTAAGACATTAGTGAAGGTTTGGTGTCTCTACAGTCTACGGTTTCAGAGGAGTAGCGATAACAAGGTTTTTCGCACAAGGGGCAATAACTTTTAAAGGGGTTGATGTTAGGGGACAAGAGTAAAATCTTTGAAACAGCTTTAAGAGTACATGTTAATGATGCATAGACATTAAGTATATGTTAAAAGACAAAAGAGATAAAAAAAGAGCTTAATTTCTCCGTTTTAGAATTACCTTGACCTTTGACCTTTACATGAATTTTAAGGTCAAAGGTCAATGAATCTTATGCAGTTGGTCCCATGTCTCTAAGACTTCTCGTTTTAAAATTTTTTAATTATTTGTAAAATTCAAAAAGTTTCAAGGGGAATAACTAATTGAAGGGGTCACCGAATACTTTCGCAATGAATAGATTGAAGAGTCCCCTTAATTAGTCAAAGACATTGGTGAAGGTTTCATACCTCTACGGTTTACGGTTTCAGAGGAGTAGCGATAACAAGCATTTCTTGCAAAAGGGGCAATAACTTCGAAAGGGGCCAGGGTTAATTTACGCAGGGTGAACTGTAATAATCTTTTAAGAAGTACATTCTTATCGACTAAAAATCTTTTCGATAAATCTTGAAACAAAAAATCACACGGCGGAAAAATAATAAAAAAGAAGAAACAGAAGGAAATCAATAGGTCTTTCCACAGAAAGGTGGAAAGACCTAATAAACATAAGCATTTCAAGAGATCTTTCCACAGAAAGGTGGAAAGACCTAATAAACATAAGCATTTCAAGAGGTCTTTCCACAGAAAGGTGGAAAGCCCTAACTAGGAGACTTATTGTTCACAGAACAATAAGAGGTCTTTCCACCTTCTTTGAATTTCAAATTTTTTTAATATCTGACTCCTAAAAATTATATTCCATGAAAAAGAAACCAAAACTGTCTTAAAGCTTAGAAAAAATAAAAATAAAAATAAAAAAAAAGAATGACCTTGACCTTTGACCTTGAAAAAATTTTCAAGGTCAAAGGTCAAGGGTCACAATGCAATTAACCCCATGCTTCTATGACTTACAGTTTTCAAGTTATAAGGTTTAATAGTATGTACAAAGAAGTTAAAGGGCAATAACTCATATAAGGGGTCATCAAATCCTTTCTCACTTACACAGTGAAGTTAGGCCTTAAGACCCTTATGACATTAGTGAAAGTTTGGTGGCTCTACGGTCTACGGTTTCGGAGGAGTAGCGATAACAATGTTTTTCGCACAAGGGGCAATAACTGTTAAATGGGTTCATGTTAGGGGACAAGAATGAAATCTGTGAAACAGTTTTAAAAGTACATATTAATGATGCATAGACTTTAAGTATATGTTAAAAGACAAAAGAGATTTAAAAAATGCTTAATTTCTCATTTTCGGAATGACCTTGACCTTTGACCTTTATATGAATTTTAAGGTAAAAGGTCAGTGAATCTTATGCAGTTGGTCCCATGTCTCTACGACTTGTCGTTTTAAAATTTTTTAATTATTTGTTAAATTCAAAATGTTTCAGGGGCAATTACTCATTGAAGGGGTCACCGATTGCTTTCGCAATGAATAGATTGAAGAGTCCCATTAATTAGTCGAAGACATTGGTGAAGGTTTCATACCTCTACGGTTGATGGTTTCTGAGGAGTAGCAATAACAAGCATTTCTTCCGAAAGGGGCAATAACTTCGGAAAAGCTGAAAGTTCATTTACGCAGGGTCAACTGCAAAAATCTTTTATTGAGTACATTCTTGTGGACTATAAAGCTCTTTCATATATCTTGAAACTCAAAATCACACGGCGGAAAAATAAGAAGAATAAGAAACAGAAGACTAGGAGACTTATTGTTCACAGAACAATAAGAGGTCTTTCCACCTTCTTTGAACTATGTTTTATATCTGACTCCTTAAAAATTAAATTCCATGAAAAAGAAACCAAAACTCTCTTAAAGCATAGAAAAAATGAAAATTTAAAAAAAAAAAAAAAAAAAGAATGACCTTGACCTTTGACCTTGAAAAAATATTCAAGGTCAAAGGTCAAGGGTCACAATGCAATTGACCCCATGCTTCTACCACTCATAGTTTTCAAGTTATAAGGTTTAATAGTAAGTACAAAGAAGTTAAAGGGCAATAACTCATTTAAGGGGTCATCAGATTCTTTTGCACTTATACAGTGAAGTTAGGTCTAAAGACCCTTAAGACATTAGTGAAGGTTTGGTGTCTGTAGGGTCTACAGTTTCGGAGGAGTAGCGATAACAAGGTTTTTCGCACAAGGGGCAATAACTTTTAAAAGGTTTAATCTTAGGGGACAAGAATGAAATCTTTGAAACAGTTTTAAGAGTACATATCACTGATGGATAGACATTAAGTATATGTTGAAAGACAAAAGAGATACAAAAAGAGCTAATTTTCTCATTTTGGGAATGACCTTGACCTTTGACCTTTACATGAATTTTAAGGTCAAAGGTCAATAAATCTTATGCAGTTGGTCCCATGTCTCTAGGACTTCTTGTTTTGAAAATTTTTAATTATTTGTAAAATTCAAAAAGTTTCAGGGGCAATAACTCACTGAAGGGGTCAATGAATACTTTCGCAATGAATCATTGGAGTGTCTACTAAACTAGTCAAAGACAATAGTGAAGGTTTCATTTCTCTACGGTTTATGGTTTCGGAGGAGTAGCGATAACAAGCTTTCTTGCGAAAGGGGTAATAACTCCGAAAAGGATCAAAGTTCATATACGCAGGGTCAACTGCGAAAATCTTTTATGAAGTACATTCTTATGAACTAAAAATCTTTTCGATAAATCTTGAAACTCAAAATCACACGGCGGAAAAATAATAAAAAATAATAAAAAAAAGAAACAGAAGAAAATCAATAGGTCTTTCCACAGAAAGGTGGAAAGACCTAATAAAAAAAAGAAACAGAAGAAAATCAATAGGTCTTTCCACAGAAAGGTGGAAAGACCTAAAAAGGAAAAAAAGAAACAGAAGGAAATCAATAGGTCTTTCCACAGAAAGGTGGAAAGACCTAATAATAATAACTAGTGCTAATTGTAACGGGAACCGTTACAGATGTTCCCCAAACGCTCCCCAACTCCTTTCTCGTGCCATATTCCCTGTAAGTTTCATTAAAGAAGGCAAAATCTATGCATTTAAGACGTAAACAACGTTTTCCCAAAAGTATACCAAGTATTTCAAATTTAAGCAATGCAGGCGTGCGCATGTGATTGCATGAGCGTAATGACGATATCATCTTGTCTACACTATTTTACTCATTTGCACGTGCACGCACGTGCATGATGACCATACCTTCTTGTAGGAGTCCATTATGTCTGTCTATGTTCTTAATCCCATTCTGTTTGGTTGAAAAACAAGGGAGTTATAGCCATTTAAAGTTTAAGCCAATCAGATTGCAGCGCACGTGCATGCGCGTATTTTCATGACAATTATTATATATCATATTGTAGGACATCTTAAAGTATGCTTATGTTTTAAATTTCAATGCATTTTGTAAAAAAAAACAGAAAAGATATTGAGATTTTTGTTTCAGCCAATCAGAGCAAAGCGCACGTGCACGCACGTGCATGCATGTGAATGGTGACCATGCCATCCTGTAGGAGTCCTTTATGTCTATCTATGTTGTAAATCCCATGCTGTTTGGTTGAAAACCAAGGGAGTTATACTCATTTAAAGTTTTAGCCAATCAGATTGCAGCGCACGCGCATGCGCGTGATTTCATGAAAAATTTTATATATCATATTGTAGTACATTATAATGCATGTCTATGTTATAAATTTCAAAGCATTTCATTATAAAACAAAAAAGATATTGAGATTTCTGTTTCAGCCAATCAGAGCAAAGCGCACGTGCATGCGCGTGCGTTCATGCAAATTTGACCATGTCATCTTATCTACACAACTTATATATCTTCATATAATGAGTTTCAAAACATTTTATCAAAAAATATAAAAGTTACAACCATATTAAATATATCAGTCATTTTACTCATTGCACGCGCCCGCACGTGCATGCGAATGCGCGCAAAATGACCTTCGTTCGGCACATCTACACAACATGCCTACTAACCCTAAAAAGGTTTTAACTTAGTTTGGTGAACAGTTTCTGAGAACACTTCCGGACAAAAAAGTACCGGAGAAGAAATAAGAAGAAAAAAGAATAATAATAATAATAATAATAATAATAAGAAACAGAGTAAAAACAATATGTTCCCCAACTTCGTTTGGGGAATATAATAATAAGAAGAAGAAACAGAGTAAAAACAATATGTTCCCCAACTTCGTTTGGGGAACATAATAACAACTTCCAATAGATTATATATGTTCATGAATCAAAATGTATACTTTTCATGTGTAACTCGGTATATGACTATTTTAATATCATTGTTAATATTATAAATGGACGTTTACTATCCCCGTCACAGGAAAAGTGCCCAAATCTGTAAGCCAGCTAAATGTTAAACAATTTTTCTCAATGAAATATTATTTACGATATCTTCTTTGTAAATTATAAATATTTAGATATTTAAGATATCATAAAAATCTTACCGAAAAAATTATTATTTTCTTTACCTGAATAATTGTAAAAAGTAATTTTGAACGAATGGTTTCCAAGTCTGTTAGAAACGATTATTGCATTTCCTCCAATCCAGTCCTGTGAAATGTTCATTAGAGAAAGCTTTGTGTTGTACCCTTCGACTTCGAGAATCTTTCCAAATGCTTGCAATGGTATTGATCCTGTTGTGAAAGACACCATTTCTCGAAAAATGTCCAACCCGTTGAAGTTTTTAATAACTACCTGACTACTGGGTGGTGGAAATGAAATAACATTCAACTCTAATGTCAAGTTCTCTCCAAGACTTACACCGATGGTTTCTTGAGAGGAAGATATGAAAGGTGGCCCTGAAAAAATATGGGGATAAGGCTATACTAAAAATTATGTTAATTTTAAGATAAAAAAAACAATTTTACAACGGTTTTTAGTGCTGAATATAATTATTTTATTACCATTTATACTTAAGGTGACAAAACTCCTTGATACTTCCGTAGACCTCGATGTTCCACACGTAGTATATTCAATGGTACAGATGTATCGTCCCATGTCTTTGTATGAGACACGTTGAAGGTCAACCAACTCCGTTGTGTATGTTCTTACAACTGTGCTATTAAATCCTAGTATGTGCTGCCACTCCACTTTCAAAGGTTGATACGCTCCACTTAGAGGACATTCGAATGCCACGTTTTCAGATATATTTTTGGTGATATACTCCGGTTGTCTAACTAATTAATGAGAAAATATTACAGTGTATCTATTTTTATCAAAGAAATAGATATTCAAAACATGGGATAAAAATAAATTTGTACTTCATAATATAATGTAATTAAAGAAACATTATACCTGGAATGGAGCTTATAGATTTGACCATTTTCCTTCCATTAAAATTAGAACTGTTCCTACAACGAAACATTGGTGTAATGTCGATGCGGAAGACATAGTCTGAATCTATGCCATCCTTGGAATACATCAAAGCTTTGGTATCTATAGTGGCTATCTCTGTTTCATTCTGATATAGTTTTACCCGATAATAATTAAGAATGCAGCCGTTCGCATTTTCTGATGTCCAGTTTACTTTAAGTGTGCAGCGTTGAATTGAGATGTCAACATTATCACTGCTCGGGAAATCTTGAGACACTGTAACTACAGAATGTACATTACATACATGTATTACTTTAACAATTTAATACATTTTCAACTTTTAAATTTAACTTTCTTTTTAACGTGTATAAAAGGGCAAATCAGAAAATATTGATGCAGTATGTAAAAAAAAGAGACATATTTGATTAATAATTAATGAAATGAAATTTCATTGACGTACTTACTGTCAAATAAAAAGCACAATAATGTATAGGTTAAGCTTAAAGGCTTTGTCAAAACATACATTTTGCTTGAAACGTTATAGCATCTTTTTAATCTATACATGACAGTGCTGTTTAGACATAGTAACGGAAATCCGAGTAAACAAATGATCAATTCCACATACAAAAACAAACACAGTTAAAAGAAACTAAGTGGAAGGAAATGTGTCGCAAAGGGGAGGACAACAATTAAATGTGCACATTTAACATTGTAATTACTTTATCTTGTTGTTTATATGAAAAACATTTACTCAGATGTTCTTTTAACGTAGGACAAGTCTTTTTCGAATGTCCTCTTAAATATTAAAGCAACGTTTTAAAAAATATATAACTACATAAATTTATATAACTATAAAAAACTTCAGTTACAAGTTTGGAGAAACATAGTGCGTTCGATGTCATCAAAAACCAAGGAAACATAATCGATTTCCTGAAGAGAAAAAAAATCTCGAGTTTGCTGTATATATTTTACATCGTATTATTAATTACATATACATTTTATACAAGTGATTTTCATTTATACGTCGGCTCGATATGTCTAAATGTACTTGAAATAAAAGACAGTAAAGAGTTAACACATTTGTTTCATGTTTGGATATTTTTGGATATTTTACAAGTACGTGTGAGAGACTTCAGTGGTAATATAACGACAAAACTTCATGATAAATATGCTGAATATTCTGACTTCATTTTTACATTGTAACCTTCCTAACTTGTGTAGCAATATCCTTATCACCTGCAAATGGCAATTATATCTCCCAGTTGATTCGAAAGTAAGAGCATATCTAAGTCTTAACAATTTCTAAAACATAGCAAGTTGTCAACAATCACCTAACAAAATGTTGAAATAAGGATATCAGCAGTTACATTTAAAGTCATTATTTTGCAAGTTGTGTTGTTGATACAATGACTGTATGCAAGTACAATTTAATTTATCATTAAGTCGAATGCTGAGTGACACATATCGAATTCCTTTAAATAACGTGTACTTGAGTTGGTAAAAAGGAACACGACTCACTTTGCAAGGGCTTCCATGCTTACCTCCTTTAAGATTTACCATTCATTAGCTATATCCTATGAATGTCAAATCTTTCAAAACATTCATCTTAAAAAATAATTTACAATGTTTTAAGCAGGAAATGTAAATAAACAAGATTCAATCGGTTCAAGAAAATTTAAAATGTTTAAAACTTACTTGTTTAAAATAAACAGCAATGGCAAATTCATTCATGATATCCGAGAATGCTTCCATATATATGTGAGCAAACATTGATTTGCTGTTCTATAGAAAATTGATTGATTAATTGTATTGTTTTACATTCCATTCGAAAATTTTTCACAAGTAGAGACGCTACCATATACAACTTTTTACCCTTGGGCCTACACGGCACTCAGGGCCATTGAACAGTGAGGAATCTCTATCTTGCCAACGCCTGCCGTGATACGCGGGACCTCGGTTTTTAAGGTTTCATCCGGAGGTCCGCAACTTACATTTCAAGTGCAAAGCGGATAACGAAGGAACAGTTGTTGTCCTTGTTATTATAGACCTATGTCATTAAAGGTCGAGATTCGAACTCACGACCAACCGATCACAAACCAAGCGTTCTTGAGAAAATGATTTTATAAAGATCTTTTTTTCCTATATAATCTTATGTAAAACGTAAAAGGGTCCCGGGGATAGGCTTCGGCTTAGGTGAGCTAAAAGAGAGAGTTAAAATATAATGGTTGAACTGGTCGTTTGAAATCGATCGATGCTGCGTTCAACAAGATACATGTATCTGAAAATGCCAGATTTACATGGACATTGCTAAGACATAAATCATTTTATAGAATCATGACAATGCAAAGGAATGTAACTATATTTCTATCAATTGGGTGGCTTTACTTCCGCCTAATGCCTGAGAGGAAATATGCGTTCAATGTGCCAACGATCTATTTCAAAACAAATATTTTAAGAAAGTAAAAAATTTATAAACTTACTGATGGTTGATGAAACAATGGTGTAATTTTTATAGCCGAAAAGGAAGTTAAATAATGAAATTTGGAAATTGAAAAAAATCTGTCGTCTTATTATTGTAAAGAAAAACAAGGGCTCGTATGTATAGTTTTTCCTTGTTCACATATTTCTTTCAAGAGGTTATTAAAACATGTAAAGACATCCAAATAAAAGACGACAATATCTGTTCAAATTGCACTTAACAAAGCTTTCAGTAAACAGATTTCCTGCAAGAAAGTCCAAACACAAATCCTCGGGGTAAATTTCCTGTATCTGGCAACACGGTTTTAAAAAAGCATAAATAAATAAATGCAATTTTGAAGAAAAGGAAGATTGCAGAGCGTTTTCATCCCCCATATTTAGCAGATCACAGCCATTGTAAGTTTTTTTAATTACAAAAATGAATTGAAACAATCAGAGGCAGATTGTACAATATTATATATATCATGGCAAGTGATATTCATCACTGTCTTTGGGGCATCCCTGACAATGAGTACGCTAGGTTTTCCGCTCACGGAAACGAAGACCTAATAGATGTGTATTAAGCAATAGGTAATACTTTGATGACTTAAAAATATTGAGAATTGATATGATCACTTTTCTTATTTTTAGATGACCCTTTGCATTTTTATTAAACATCACTCGGATTATCTTTATCTGTCAACGAAGTTAAATGCAATATTTCTTATTCACCAGAAATCTTAAAAGATACTGAAACATAAATTATTGAATGCTTACGGATAAATGCTTGCAAGTTTTTTTCTCTTCTTTAAGAAATAAAACTTTATTAATCACAATACAGTTTCACAAACTTGAGATAATGTTGTGGAACACATAAGATATATGCCAATACGTTTCTAATAAGTTGAATTTCTTGGCATTTATTTCCCAGAGTTAACAGTGATATCACAAAATGAGTTTAAAATTAAAATTCAGAGTTTAAAATTTTGTTCATTTATTTATTCATTATAAGAAGGATATGGAGATAACGAACAGTATTCAATCTCAACGTCCATTTAACAATATACAAAATAAGAGCAGAGCAAACACGGACCTCCGAAACATCAGAGGTGGGAACAGGTGCCATGGAGGAGTGAGCATCCCCTGCCGAACGGTCACACCCGCCGTGTGCTCGTTGTCATGATCAGGAAATAGCGGAAAAAATCCGTCTTCAATTCAGTGTATAAATAATGGACTAACCATTGGTATAAAAAACGTCAGTCAGCATTTGACTCAATGATAAATTGTATTTGCTGACAAGGTCATTGTATCGACCATAGAATTTACGAAATGATGACTTTAAACGAGACTGTTGATATTCTTGTTTCATCAACTTGCTTGTCAATAATTTACCTCGTTTAAGAAATTGTTCATACGTAGAACACGCTCTTGCGTATCGAATCAACTGAGATATATATACTCCGTATGCAGGTGATGAAGGTATATTGCTGCATAAGTAAGGAAAGTTGACGAAAGTTATCAGGTTTATCATATAGCTTGGTTGTTAGATTACCATTAGTGTCTTTTTCAAGTAAAATATCCAAGTATGAAGCAGAAGTGTTGGACTCTGTGGTATCTTTTATCTCAAGCTCACCAGGATATATCGTATCGACGTAGGAATGGAAATTATCATTATTAATTGACAATACTTCGTCGATATATCTAAATGTCGAGTTGAAGGCCACAGCAAGTGTTTTCTTCTTTTCACGCATAAGATTTTGCATAAATTCTGCTTCATATGAATATGAAAATAAGTCTGCTAATAACGGAGCGCAATTTGTACCCATGGGAATTCCAATAGATTGTTGGAATACCTGGTCTCCAAAAACCACATAGATATTGTCAATCAGAAACTCAAGCATCTTCTTGATGTCAACTTCAGAGTACTTATGTGTGCAATCAGAATCTGTTTTAACAAAATAATTTTTCAAATGACCAATGACGAGGTAAGTAAAGAAGATGGGCGCATTTGGCGAGTAATCTGCAGGAATCATTTGTACGAAACATTTATGGTTTAAATGTCCATGATTTGGTTGGCTGAACATAGCTGGTCAGATTTTTCAAGCACGTCCATAGGTTTTTTTCATTTAGTTTGAAAGACCGTGTGAAATTGTAACATTTTTGTCCGTTTTTCCAGGGGGTACTGTAACATATTAATGTTTCACAAAAACGAAACACCTAAAATATTTAATGCATAGATGCATGATACATGTACATTATAGAATAGAAGATTAGATTCTGAATTGATTTCGCTCGAGAACCAAACTGAACCAAAATTTATCTAATTCAAAATCTTAATACATAAGAACATAAAATGAAACTGACAAAATAAATGGTTGTTTGCATGAAAAAAAAAATTAACGCCCCATGCCAGGCTCGAACTAAAAACTTCTCGCTTCGAGTGCAGTGAGCAGGTAACCCAACTTACTGAGCTATCACCGCTACACGTATACCGATGATTTTAAAAGGACAAAGAAGCACCACATTCACACACTTGGATTTTTTTGGGAAAAGTTAATTTTTCGTGGTCTCTGGGTCTTCTCTCCATTTTTCAAAGAAGTGTATTCGTTTCTTTTAATTAAAATACACACAAATAACATTTCAAAATCATGGAGAGAAGACCCAGAGATAGAAAATTTTTAGAAAAACGTGTCAAAAAATGTACCTTTTTGTACCAAATGTCTGATCTGGCCAATTTTCAGGTTATTTTTTAGCTAATCAGAGCTCAATTTCAGGAAGATATTTTCCTTTCCTGTTGCACAGGATTCCGATAAATAAATAAAATGTTAAAATTTCATGTGACATGTCGATAAAATTTTCACTTTTCAAGTACGCCCAGATTCCTGCCGAATGCCCATCAAAAGCGCCCACGTTCTTTACGAGTTCCATTTTTGTTGAAGAAGCAGCTGTCAATGATATCAAAAAGCCTGGATTTTACTAGTAATTTGTCGTATGGAATTGTTGTGTATAAAGTTGAAAAGTCGTAAGTTTTTAAGCTGTTGATTTTTGTAAAGTCTTGTGATTTCAAATTGTCCAAAAGTTCTTTAGAATTTTTAAGTATCCACATCTGATTTACACCACTTCTTTATATAATGAGCCTTACAAACGAAGACAATGTTGTTACCTGCTTTGTCGGCAGGAACCAGTACGTACTGATTGTGTAATCTTTCTAATTCTTTTTTCACTTCTGGTTTATTGAACACAGAAGGATAGATGGTTTTCATTTTGCCCCTCAATCTTTTAATACGTGACTTCAACATGGATCTGATACATTTAATCCATTCTGACAAGGTGTCAATGTCTTCTTTTTCATATCTGGCCCATCGTCTGGCGTAATTTTCAACAGAATCCATAATATTTATGAAATTCCGACGCCAGTTGAAGGGTCGGGGTTCCCTATATTTAGGACCTTTTAAAATAAGTGATTTAAGATCCTCATTACAAACTATATTTACGTCACCTGTAATAACGTGTCCAGCAGGACTATAGTTATAGGGCGAAGTAGAACATGAACACGAAGGGGGGTTATTTTTCAGATAGTCGATATCCAGGCCATGTAAAGTGTTTTTGTAATTGAAAAGTTTGGAAGCAATGGTTGACGTATATTTGTAGGAAATACAAGGTGTAGTCTTTAACTTGAAATATGGTGGAATACATGACTGGACCCTTTTGTGATTAAGAATATTACTTATATTAACCGCGTCAATTCCTTTATTGGCATATTGAAGTTTAAGGAAAAGACGGATTGTTTTAGCTGCATTTTTTTCCGTGAAACGTGCGGGTTTAAAAAGCCTATGATATGCAATATCCATAATCACAGATCCGAGCCTATATTCAGGTGACGAGGAATCTAAAATTGGATGTTCCTTGGCCTTTTCAAGAAGACTATTTAAAAGTTTCAAAGGGACAGAGTAAAGTTTTGTTCGAATATGATGTAGACCTAACTGTTGATTTACATAAGGTAGTAATGAATCAAAAGAGACGTCGTGTAAATGATATATACCGAATTAAAATTAAATGACTCTGACACTTTTCTGCCTTTCTTTGTCTTCATTAAATCTGTCAATCAATATCCAAATTTTATAATTTAGAAAAAAAAAATCATAAAAATATTTTTTGAGAATATCCAATGTTTGATGTATATAAAAAAAAAATAAATTTTGATTTCTTAAATGGTAGAAGATACATATATTCATTTTTCTTAAGAAGTCATACTCTGGTCTCTTTTACGTATTCTCAATTAAGAATTTGTGTGAAATATATATTATTCATTTGTAATAAAGAATCGCGCATTATCTTAATCATTACCTATATGCATTATTCAGAAATATACATGTAAGCATGTTCTCATACTTTTTCTATTTTATGAGCATGAAACGTACATTTTAGATTTGAAGCAACAATATTGAACATTTAATTTTCGTTATTTGAATCCAGGAGCAAACTCGTTATCATACAATATTTTGTCCGTCTGAAACTCATCTGCAGCAAATCCATCGCAACTGAACATACTACAAAAGTAAAGAGCAGACAACATGTACTTAGAAGTGGAAGCACATCATTTTGATAGCAATAATAATAAAACATTTTTACATATATATTTCTGTGTACAATCCCTTACCTTTGACTCCGTTTTTGCTCCATTTCTATGTTCTCTTCAGTCAATTTTTGAACATCTACATTAATAAGAACAATGATCATTAACATCAAAGCTTTAACATTTTAAGAGATGCCTAAAATTTTCAAATATTTACCTGTTTAATAGTGAATAAATTAAAAAAAACCAAACAATCAACCGGCAATATTTGCTTAGTATTGAATTGATTATAGTTTAGCTTAAATGGTCTATTTTTAAAAAAAAAAATGTAAGTCGGGTGGAGATCCTTGTTCATTTCAATCAGATTGTTCAAATAGTTTTAGTCTAGCATTACGATCATGACAATTTATTAGCAAGACTACATATATCAGCATTATTTTGTAGAAATATATATGTGGAATACAATGAAAAAAACCCATCAGCCTGCATGTGCTTAACTCCTGAATAAAACAGCTACTTGTAAAAAGTAATTTGTTCCAATTTTCATTAAAAAAATACTGCAAAATGTTTGAATAAAGATAACATTTATGAAAATCACATTTCAACTATTTTCGGTATGGCATTTTTTTATGGAGCTTCTGAAGATATATTTACTTCAAAGACAAAGCTTACTCTTTACTATAGAGAAAGATCATTTTTTGTGGACTATCATAGCTGAGAAATAAGCAGAGCTGTCTAAATGATGCTTGCATTTTAAAGACCTTTCTTCCCGGTTTAACTTACCGTGCTCATCAAGAAAATGAACTTTAAATTTTTAAAAAAGTATAAAATTGATCTTTAACTAAGTTAGCACAAAGGAATATTTATTATTTGATTAATTCAACACTTTTTAAAATATCATCAATTATATTAAAATTGAAATATTCAACATCATTTCTTCACATAACAACAACGAAAATTTCGTTTATTTTAGTCTTTATTATCAAAAACATAAACACCGGTCATGTTTCGAATATTTTATATCAATATCATCCTGCTCAGAGAGTATTTTATGTACAATGTCCAATTGGGATCCCTAAATTCGTTTAATAAACATAATAACATTCAGTTTCCTTGTACTTAGTAAATTTAAAAAATAAAAATGGTAGAAGATATTTAATTACTTGTTCCAGGATCAATGATTTAAGTAAATTCTTTTTGATTGCAAAACGTTCAATGATTTTTGTCAACATCCTGAAAGTCCGTAAACCTTTCATATATCACGATAAATGCTCATCCTTATGTGCACATCTTGATGATTTCGTTATTTCTTTAAGCTATCCAATACTAACTTACTTATAAACTTAAAACTAATACAGCATAACCTGCTTATAAGGAACTTTGTTTAAAGAAGTTTTCGTTAAATAGAAGTTAAGTTTGTGATTTATCCCTCTCTTTAAAACTTTTTATATTATTGATATAGGTGTAAGAATTTCCATTTTAAGATAAGAAACTAAAATTCCATGTTTCCGGACCTCTTTATAAGCTCTGATTAAAATACATCTAAGCGAACACAAGAAACACCGATCGCGATGCTTTTGTTGCTACAGGACGTAGAAGTATATATTCCAGAAAGTCACAACTCTTTTCCATTTATATTTTTATATGCAAAAATTAAGAATAAACTTTTCTAAACAGTTGTAAATAAGATAAAAATCTGTGATTTAATAACTAATCAAGGTCAAAATGCAACATGTTAAATTGAATGTAGCTAATTAAATGCTATTGGACTCGGTGCAGTTAATTCTATGTCTCCTTGTTCACAATACTAATGATATTTTGATGGATGCTTCAGCGAGTGATTATCGGTGCTAGTTTTCCTCATGTTGAAGTAAATGACACAAAATGTTCCTTGCACTGCATTTATTTCGTTATTTTCGCTCTTTCACCTCCATTATGCATTGTATTCTTTTGGTAAACAAAAGCGTTTAGCCCTTTTCCATGCCAGTAAAATTTAAATGTACATGTATTAAACATCCAGTAACAATTCACAGTGAACATAAAAGCAGGTGTATAGTTGCACAATTAAAATTAGTCCCCTTGGCAACTTCCGTTTACCTGTAAATAAGGAAGACAAAATTTAGTTTTATTATTTACTGTGTTGAAACTTTTGCATTAATTACACCTGTTAACAAGTTGATGAACATTTAAGTGTACTGTGATGTGGTTTACAAATAAAAAGTTACTGATGGTTCTTCAATAAATATCATATATCTTTTAGTGTTACCATCTTTTTTACTCCCCATTATGTGAAATGTAAGTTAAATAAAGCAATCAAACCTTCTCTCGTTGCAATAAGACGACTGGTCTGTTTAATCACATTGTCTTGGTGGTAAACTTTACTCGCATCATCATTTACTGAAGACAGGTATAAGATTGTTTTCTTTCCCTTTTCCGATAAGTACACGTAACATTCAAATATTTCTTTTCGATGTGAATATCTTCACTCTACGCATCAATATTCAACTTCATCAGACGTTATACTAAACCGTCTTGAGTTAAATCTAGTAGGTTACAAACATTGTAATAAACTATATAATTCGAGAAGAATATATCCTTATACCAGTACTCAATATGACTGGAAAAAATCCGAAGAAGAGGATAAAAAATCTGACTAAATTTTCACTTTATCATTCATCCGACACATAGACAAACCACGATAATCGAAACAAATATTATGGTAGAAAGGTACTTCCGTTTTAAGTATTAATACCCTCAACTTCACAATTTTGACAGGATCACATCATCAACATCAATATCAACATTATATTTTTATATGAAATGTTAACAGCTTCAATACGTACCTTGGTCTTTTTTCTTACTGGTAAACGAAAAGGGTCTGGAATATAAGCGTTCACTTTTTGAAACTTCTGATTGTTTGTTATCGCCACTAAATAAAAAAAAAAATCTGTAATATATCTGCCAAGAACAGTATTCAAGCTCAAAAGTATATTAAACAATGTAAAATAGAAGCATCTAGCAAACAAGAATCTCCGAATTATCTGAGGTGGGATCAGATGCCATGGAAGAGTGAGCATCCTCTTCCGACCGGTCACATCCGCCGTGTGCTCATTGTGATCAAGAAAAAAAAAATGAAAAACTGTTTTTGCAGACAAAGTCATTGTTTCAACCATAAAACTTATGATATTCTTGTTCATCAACTTGTTTGTCAATAATTTACCTCGTTTTGTACATAGGCAGAGCGGCCTCTAGAACGCCCTAAAAATAAATATCTTAAAACCAACTTTGTAGACCTCTTTGTTCGTGTAGCACGGAAATTATATCACAGTAGTCTAGTATTATTACTCTTGCTGGATTGCCGTAGAAAGTGATGACACAAAAATGAAATCTCCCAGTCCTAATCATAAGGTCCATGCATGGGTAAAAAAAGTATGGTGATGTCTTATTCTTAAATGAAATACAAAACACAACTTATTCTACAAGGAAGCTTCCTTATTTGGTGGCCATTACTTTTAATTTCTTCTATAGGATTTTTCATAAACATACTTCATCTACTAGGTTTTTGAGAGGGATACAACCATACATTGATTTTCTATCTACAAAAATGTAATTTTTAAATACTCACGTATTGTCGTTTAATGACAGTTTTTTTCCTCCTAAAAAATACATTAAGCACTTGTATATATATCTTTCAATACACAATACAAATGTTTTAGTCTTAAAAAATAATAAAAAATATTTCAAGCTTACTTTTCTTCTTGCAAGTAACTACCAGTACAATAACAATGATGAATAAAACAAGAATCCCTCCTCCAATTCCAGCCAAGAGATACATATTTTCCTTCAGTACTCTAACTGAAATATACAAAAACATTTTCCCTGGGACTGAATGGATCTTCTTATGTTTTAATAGCGATACTGTTACTATTTTCTTTATAATGTATAGTATTGAGTATATCAATTGGTTGAAATAAAATATTATCGTTTAATCGTAGCCTACGTATTTTCATAAACACAAAAATTGCTTGCCAAACAGTTACACCCAAAATTTAAATTTTTGATAATTTTGGAAGTTTCAGAACAAAACAGACAAAGATAACATACGACTAAATTACATTCTCCGAATCAGCTTCTGACAATTATAAAAAAAAAACTAGAGGTTCTGTGAGCACTAGCTGAGTTCACTAAATGATACCCCGCCTCCCATATGATTATAATGGCAAAGTCCATGATTTGCTCTTGGAAACCCGAAATAAGTGTCAGATCAAAAAGTAAAATAGGAGATGCACAATGGCATTATGTAACAAAAATCTGTGAAAGTATCACGATATTTTATTCAGTAATATAGAAGGCGTTGCGGATAAAAGATGGGTACCCTTCAATACATGTATTATAGAAGGAATGGCAGGTCAATGGTTCGCTATGGGAACCCCGAAATATGCGTCCGATCAAAAAAAAAAAAGGAGGTACACAATTGGACTATGTTACAAAAATTCTGTGAAAGTCTCATATTTCATTCAGTGACATAGGAGGAGTTGCGGATGCGTACCCCTAAGCGTAATAGACGGAAGGACGTAAATACAGCTAGACGCACAGCTAGACAGAAGGACCGACGTACATCCCGATCACTTTTGTACCCTCTTACTTTTCAAGCGGGGGGTATAATAAGTTGTTTGAAAATATTGTTCCAGATTTTTTTTTCAGATAAAAAGTACATGTAATTTTGTTCAATTTCTATTATCAAAATAGAATATATCTGGCCTGGGGGGAGGGCCGAAAACTTAGACGAGCTCACTTTTGATCTAAAGGATGGATATCCTGTAATATTACTGCAACAGAAATAATGGTCGTGTCAATGTTTTGCTAATGATCCCAAAATATGTGTCTGATCAAAAAGTAAAATAAAGTGCACAATGGCACTATGTAACAAAGATTATCCACCTGCCTCAACATCCCAAAGCCTAGCAATTCAGTTTTCTTACAACCTCCTTTTGCAGACAGTGTTGAAATTTTTTTGTATGCTACATGTAAGACTTGAAACTCGATGTTTGTATTGATTTCAGGTATCCCTGAGTCATAAAAAGAATTAAATCGAAGTGAATTTTATATTGAATTTGGGCACCATATACATCGTTCATTTTTGCAATGTAATTTACCTATGAAGTTATAGATATGGTTTTCTGCATCCGGACGCTGAATTTTAAAACTGATCGAATGATGCCCAAGGCTATTAGAGACGGTAATTGTATTTGTTCCAAACGACATTTCTGAAACATTCAGCATTGTTAAGCTCGTCACATATCCTTCAACATCAATGGTCTTTCCATAGGCTTTCAGTGGCACTACTGTATTTTCGAAATATACTGTGTGATTAACATAATTGTTGCCTTGGCTTTTGACGGTTACTTGTTCATAAGGTGCTGGAAATGATATTATTTGTAACGGTACTGTTATGTTTTCTCCTGGTAGAATACTAAGAGTTTCTGTAGAAGTATCTATAAATGGTGGACCTGTAAAAAATCAAAAATTGATTAGTTTGCTATCTTCATTTTCTTTCAGATATGATAAATTTGTATATGACAGACTATTCTAACAAGCTCATGAACTATGTAAAAATAAAACTTTTATCAGAGAATGCCACATTTGGATAGATTGAAAACCATTTCGTCTTTCCAGCTTCTTTCTAAGATTTGAAGTTTGAGTATAACCAAGTTCTATGTCTTATGAATTTAAGATATCATAAGGAGATTGTTGTTCACCAAAATATTTCTGAGATATCCAAATCTTAGTAGACCTAGTGAAATCAACTTAACACGAGTAAAAGAAGATTTTCAGTTGTTCTTACCTCTAACGTGGAACACAATAGAACTCATCAAACTCCGTGACGTCATCAAATCGTTTGACTTTCCACAGAGCGTGTAATGTACCGTACAGTCATACAATCCCATGTCTCTGTAGGATACGTTTCTGAGGCTGACTTGTGATGTAGTAAAGTTTCTCACGATGGTTTCATCTGTTCCGATCCTGTGCTGCCACTCAAACCTCAGCGGCTGGTAAGCTCCCGTAAGAGGACACTCTAATACAGTATTTTCTGATACTCTTTTGGTGATATTCTTTGTTTGGATTTCTAAAATGTAAATTGATTGTTATATTGTTGATGTTTTAACTCTCGTTCATATATTTTGTACAAATCGTGTTCATTTGTAAGTTAGATAAAATATACAGATGAAAGAAATTTTAAATAAATATTAAATATATACTTTTAAATTTCTTATCTTTAAAATATGCATAGTGATGATAATGTACATAAATTGTATGTCTTCGTTTTCGTTTTCATTTGTAGTTAATGTCATCTTGCATGCAAATACCAGAACTCAAACGGCAATGTTTGGCACCTAACAGTGATACACTTTAAATACTTACGACTTTAATCTAAAGCCTGTACCTATAAAATACGCGACCTTAAAATCAATGTAAGCAGTGTAGTCAACAGTAGAGATTATAAGTACCTGGGAACGTTGAGATACTTTTATTCCTTATTCTTTGGTCAGACTGATTGCCATTACAGGTCATTACGGTGGTGATTTCCACTCGGTACACAGAGTTGGAAGAGATTCCATCATTGGTATACATCAAGGATGTTGTATCAAATGTTCGTCTTTCTGTATCATTCTGAAATAGTTTTAAGTGATACGTTTCAAATTCACATCCATTTACATCATTTTCGGCGGTCCAGTTGACATTGAGTGTACATTTATGAATCCAAATGTGAACATCCTCTCCGCTTGTAGAATTCTGGGACACTGAAACTAAGAAATAATTTACTAAGTTAAATTCGCATTCAATTTTCATAATTGCAATTATTTTCTTCTGTGTTACTGTGTTATAGATACTTACAATTAATTAGTAGATTTAGTGATATAATTTTAAAACATAAACTTTTCGCTTTCCACATTTGAAACAACATATTGCTTTCACCATTAAAACTTTCCAACTTTATGTGTTAAGTAGGTAGAACAGAAACGATAGTGACTTTATAATTTATTCCCCTATTCAGCTAAAGATAAAAAAATACGAGGAAATGTTTTAAATGACGGAAGTTCTTCGATATGAAATGCACACTTAACAGGTATGATAATTTTATGCATTTCAAACGATAATAAACATACTTGTTATACTTCATGTTAAAGCTGATTGCAGTTAAAAAAGGTAAGTTGTCCTCCATATTATTTTTGATTTTTATGGAGTCCCTTTATAAGCCGTTCCTTTGGTCACGGTTAAGTGTGCTTCGCTTTTCAGTCTAATCTGTAGTGAAAAATAGTTCTATTGCTATCGGTATTATCGGAGATAAAAAAATAAAATGGTGTGTTCTTATCTAAGAGTCATGTTCTACATTAACTAGTCAAAATTATTTCGTTTAAACGATTTACATGTATTTAGGACAAGCAACAAGTGAACCGCAAAGCGGAACAATCCTTCACAAAGAGCATATCTAAGCATCAAGGAATCAAGGCATTCGACATTGATACCGATGCAAATTACCTCAATTCATTTTTGCACAGGACATACACGTAACCCAAACATACACAGGATTCAGTTTCCCTCTAACTCTTTTGAGAGGAGATAATAAGCTTAATGCATGTTCATTGTACATGTATCAAACATGTGACGACAGGTAACAGATATTTTTTTTCTTGCACGTACGGATAACCCTAACTTACAAAAATATTCTTAATCCATTCTATACAAAAAATAAAAACAATATACGTTTTTTTAAAAGGACCTGAGAGCACAGTTTGGTTTTTTTGCTTGGTTTTGTTTTTATTAAAATTTTAATTTCAATCAACTGAAACTGCATAAAATTCTTACTATTCGGTATTAATGTATCATAAATGTAACATCGGAGTTTAAGAGCAAAGGCACATGTATATGTACAAGTCTAATCAGTTTTTTAACTCTTAAATTTATTTACCTTGTCATTGGTTCATTTACAAATTATTTTGTTACAAAATGCTCTGATTGTACACACAAGTACCCTGAAGTCGACTTCAAAGAGGTGCTTGAGTTTCTTATTGCCAATATCTATGTTGTTTTTGGAGACCAGGTCTTCCAACAATCTATTGAAATTCCCATGCGTAAGAATTGCGCCCCGTTATGAGTAGACCTATTTTTGTATTCATATGAAGCAGAATTTGTGCAAAATCTTATGCGTGAAACGAAGAAAACACTTGCTGTGGCCTTCAACTCGACATTTAAATATATCTTCGACGTATTGTCAATAAACAATGGTAATTTCCATTCTTATGTCGATACATATCCTGGTGAGTTTGAGATAACGATACCACATATTCACCCCTACTAATGTTATTGTGATTTAAATTCAAGACACCTGGTTTAGGTTTACCTATTCAAAGGTTAAAGGGTAGATCCGGTTTTATAAATAAAATTGACAGTAAACAGGAAATTGCCATAGTCTGTTTCTTCTGAAATATGTCCTATGAAAAATGTGTGTTTCCACACCTTTCTGAAAGACTTTCATGATTTTCAACAGAAATGGGTGGCTTAAGGTGGGGGGGGGGGGGTAAATAACAATTAATACAGCTCACTAGCGACCGATACGCTGGTAAAAAAAAAGTGTCATATCATCTACACTGACAAACCTTTGTTTGCTTTATATGACTATTGCTATTAATGCGCACAGAGGATCTTACCACGAGCAACTGACCAATTGTTGATTGAATACGTTTACGCCAAATACATGATTACATGTTACTTCGAACATGTGGTTCAGGTCAATCTATGATCATGTCAGTGGAGTGCAAAATAAAAAAAAAATGTTCTTATGAACAAAATGCAAACATTAGAAACTATTAAAAATATCAGGGGCGCTTTTAATTGGTGTTAACTAATGAAAAATATGTTTAATGAAAGGTATACGTAGTTCGTGTCAAGTCCAGAACACCAGCATTTCAAAGATGAGGAAAACGAGCAGCATCTCGTATGCATTTAAATGGACAAAACATTTTTTACATAACTATACTCGTGATCACTTGTGTTGGCCAGGGAATCCACCGACAATTGTATTCACCGATAGTACAATAAAGGAATTTATCAAGCGTAAAATTCCTGAAGTATTCGTATAGTAACCCATAACGCAATTCTCATTCATCTGATTTGTCAGTTAAAGTCACATCGGTGTCCCATTTGCTAATCTGACGCCAAAAAAATATAGTCCCGGTTCCCATGCAAAATATTTGCCCAAAAAGAAATTTTAATTCATGACAGCAGAAAATTGTATCATAGAGAATACTTAAAAATAATTTAAACTTGAATGAATTCAAGAAAGATCGATTGAAGTACATTTCTACAGAATGATATTATAGGGTGGTGAAAAGTAAAACACAACATAACTTTTCTGTTTACCATGTCTCCACGTGCTAGTTACTTCCTAGCCACATTTCCGTGAATAATTTACCTTATCTAGCTGAAGTCTCGCTAGCTCAGAGCTACTCTGAACTCATCGGGTTTTATAATGCGTAGAACACCGAAAAATAAAAGGTTCCGAACACATAAGTAGGGGTGATATTCTGAGTTTCTGACACATCTGTTTCATATTTGAATAGACTTGAATGTTAATCTAATAACCAAGCTCTATGATCAACGTAATGACTTAAACTTTTCTATCGTCAACAAATGCTGACTGACGTTTTTCATACTAATTGTTAGTCCATTATTTATACACTAAATTGACAACGGATTTTACCGTTATTTCCCGATGATGACAAAGAGCACACAGCTGGTGTGACCGGTCGACAGAGGAATGCTAACTCCTCCATGGCACCCGATCCCACTTCTGATGTTTTGGAGATCCGTGTTTGCTCTGCTTCTATTTTGTATTGTTTCATGGACTTTTGATCCTGAATATTGTTCGTTATCTTCATATGTTTCTGATAACGTCAATGGACACAAACTTACAGATGACATGGTATATTTTCTAAAAAATTGAAAGTGCCGTTAATTCCGTAAAAAAAAACCCAATGAAACCGAACGAAATACATTCTTTATCTTTAACTCATCAAGATAAAGTCACATACCAAAAAAAAAAAAAAAAAAAAAAAAAAGCTTAATATACGCAAGCATTTAGAAAAAAAAAATTGCAAAAACACTGAAAAGTTGAAAAGGTTGTAATGCCGTCAATATCATAGAAGCGGAATGAAATGTTTGATACTTAGATATTTTACTTGAAAAATATGTAAATGGTTAATCTAAAAACCAAGCTCAATGATAAACGTGATGACTTAAACTCTTCCATCATCAACTTTCCTTATTATGCAGCAATACACCTTCATCACATGCATACGGAGTTTATACTTCTCAAATTATTCGATACGCTCTACGTATGAACAATTTCTAAAACGAGGTAAATTATTGACAAACAGGTTGATGAAACAAGAATGTCAGCAGTCTCGTTTAAATTAATCATTTCGTTAGTTCTAAGGTCGATACAATGACCTTGTCAGCAAATACAATTTATCATTGAGTCAAATACTGACTGATGTTTTTCAAACTAATTATTAATCCATTATTTATACAATGAAACGACGGATTTGCCCCGCTATTTCGCGATCATATCAAGAAGCACACGATGGGTGTAACTGGTCAGCAGGGGGATGCTCACTCCTCCATGGCACCGGATCCAACCTCTGATGTTTTGGAGGTCCATAGACGGATGGACGGATTCAGGGGAAACCTTTAGTCCCCTCCATTTTCACCGGTATGGAACAGATTAGGTATATAGATATATAGACGGAGGTTTACTTTTTCCGAAGTTAAATTGATGTCTAGTGATGTAACGAAGGTATTGACCAGGTAAATAGAAATAGCATTCTCTTTATATTTGACGTCACAACATTCAATCAAAATAAATGAGCTATATTTTAAAACAAGGGGTACTATGAGAAATGAGCTCACTAATATATACCCCCGATTCCCATATTGATATAATGATTGTGTCTATGTTTTGCTTTTGGAACCCCAAAATATGTGTCGGATCAAAAAATAAAATTATGAGGTGCACAATGCCAATATGTAATAAAGATTCTGTGAAAGTTTCATTAAATTTCACTCAGTGGTTTAAGAATATCAATAAGCTCAAAGTACTCGAATTTTAAAGCAAATCTGTATAACGAACACAAATACGGAATATTTTATTACATGGTTTATTTAAAAAAAAATGTGAATACAGGAAATATAATAGATTTAATAGTGGTGTAGAATTTTGACCTGATAAAGTTGTTTACTTTCTTGACTAGTTTCACTTCCCGCTGTGAAAGCAATCATTATAAGTCAAAAAGTCATGTATTTTTTCATGTAAAAGAAAAAGGTATCTCACCAAAATCGAATTCAACATTTAAAATGCAAAACTTTAACGCAAGGATAATTATGCAATAAAGAAAATCTCTAAAACAGATATTTCTCTTCCTGAAAATCTACCTACAGAGTACATTGTATTCTCCGAGTCCTTGGTAGTCATCTTTGCATGAATAAAATTAATGAAATAAACTAAGAGTACAATTTAAAATTCCTGTCATGTCCTGTGAGGAAACATATCACTTATACATATAAGTATACTCTCCCCGTATGTTGAAAAAGTTAGTTCAGTCGATTAAAAATGTTTTTAGAACTATATATACGATAAAATTGAATGGTCTTTACGTTAATAATCCAATAGTAGTCATAAAATATTATCTCATACTCCAGTCGTCACAGCGAAACGCATAGAAAAACAAGGCCTACATTTATTCTTTTGAACGGAAAAAGATTTCAACTTTAAATTATATTTGCGTGGTTTCTTATTCAGTTATTTATGTAATTTCCTCATCATCAAATGTAGTTCCTTTTTTAGACTGTTACAGTTTTTTTTAATGTCGATACAAACCAATATTTTAGTCTGTTAACGACCAAAAATTTTCTTCACTGCTTAATGCTGTTTCCAATCTTTCTTAACGTATGTTAAAGGTAATGACAGCCAATGAAA